ACAGGGTAGATGGCCAGGCCAGGAGTGAGGGGAGAGTGCCTACGGCCAGAGACCACTAGAAGTGGAGAGCTGGAGAAGACCTTGGAGAAGAGAGAAAAAAAACTCTTGTTTGAAAGAGGAAAAATCAGTTTGTATCAATATGTTCCAATCTCAAACACATAAATTGTCAGAATTGCCAAGATCTGGATTTCACCCCGTTAGATATGTTGAAGGATAAGGGAAGAAAATGAGCTGTGAGAATAAAATAGGCTTCAAAAAAGTTTTAAACCAGAATTCTAAAGATTAGTTTAAAGATAGCACTGGTGTTATCTTCCATATGGACAAAGCTCATGACATAGATTTTGGACTCTGGGAGTCTGCCTGGCATTATGAAGGGGACAGATTTAATTCATTAAATTTAGGAATTTCCTATCGTGATTTTTATCAAGTCACTCAGTTAACTTCTTTTACCCTTGGAATGAGAATGAAAAGTCTCTTCAAATCTCTGATCTCCTGTTCTTTTTTGGTCCAGTCTTTAACATACCTCTAGCTTCTCAAGAACTCTATCCACTCCCAGTACTCTTATCTCACTGATGTCTTGTTTGTGGCTAAGAACCAGTTCTGACTGGTTAATATAAAAGGCTGGGATGAAAGGAATGAGGATTCTTTGCATTCCATTCTTGCTACGTTCGCTGACCAGTGTGGCCCACCCATAAACCGAGGTGTCAGCCGTGCTGAGGGCCTGGAGCAGCTCCTCTGACTGCGGTCGAACCTTGATTAGGCAGACATAAATCCCTGAAAAAAAGGGAAAAACTGAGCAGGAAGGTTAAGAAGCTCTATTGAGCCAACTGAATCAGGATAGGAAGGAAAAACTGACATGCAAATACAGTAAAAGAAAATGAGAATTCAGTTTCGAGTATTCAGTATAAGCATACATTGGTCACTATGGGGAGGATACCAAAAAAAGAAAACAGTCCCAGGAAATCCACAACTGAACTTGTTGCCTGAGAATACCATTCTTACTCAGCATGTCAGGGAGTATTAAATAATATAGCACAAGCAGGGCAATTAAGGACTGGAGATATAAAATGAAGTAATATTGGTGAAATCAGGAAAGGGTTTGAGAGAGAAAGACAAGGTTTGAGCATGGTTTAATCACTTCCCTATCAAACCACCTCTTGATGTCATTCTGTCAATGGTATTGTTTTTCTAATTACCCATGTTCAACCCTCAGCTGTCTAAACATCCTTTCCTTCATCCCTATATCCAATCACTGTCCAAATCTTGCTAAACTTAGCCTTTGAAATGTCTCTGACATTTGCCCCCTCTATTATAATTTCTCTATTACTCTGGTCTAGACCCTCATCAATTCATGCTTGGATTATTGCAATGGCCCCTTCACTAGTCCCCTTGCCTCCTATTTCTCTTATTCATTCTATATGCTGCCACTAGATCCTTGAAAACTGCTTTCATTTTATCTTTGAAAAAAACTTCCTCAGGGTTCTAAACCTGGAATGTCCTGTTCTCTTCATATCT